TTTTTTTTTTTTTTTTTTTGGTTTTTTTTTTTTTTTTTTTTTTTTGGTTTTAACATCGTCGTTTATGTTCAACACAAAAGATGGTAAAAATACAACTCATCACCAGAAAAGGGGATTTATATGTTTATATTTCAGTCAATTCGAAACAGATTATAATCCAAAGCTTTTTTTTCGTAACAACAACGTATTTATCCACGGATAAAATCTTGAAAATGAAAAACTTACTATTTGAATCATATATAGCGTGATATATAAAGAAAGTAAAGAAAATTTTGTTGTTGAAAATCTCCAATGAATGAAATACCCGAACAACAAAAACTTTGGTTGTTTTTGTTTCTCTGGATTGTTTTTCATCATCATTGCCAATCAAAATCATCATTTTGGAAAATTCATTCAAAGCTAATTAATCTTGACGCAAATACATTCAACCTAAACTAACCAATCAACCAACCAAAAACAATAATTTCAGCAGACGAAAAGAAATGATTTCCCTCTCTCTCTCTCTCTTTCTTCAACAACAAAAAAAAACAACATACGAATCACATGGTCCATTTGATTGGATAATGATCAAACAAAAATGAAATCATGAAAATATTTTTTTGTTTTGGAAAAAAAACCTCAAACATGATCAAAATTTAATGAAAAAAAAATACCAACATTGATTCTTCATTGAAACTTCTATTTTTGACTGATTGACAAAATGATCCTTAAAAAAAAAAGATAATTCTCATTGTTCATTCGATCGATATTTATAGTGATCACATAGTGATCACATCAATGATTTTTTTTCAAATAAAAAAGACTTGATCATTTTGATAGGTAGGATTTTCATTGTTTCAAATATCAAACATCAAACATCGAATAAATAAATAATGATCATCACACACACACACAGTGAGATTGGGTTTGTTCAAAATTTATTCTACCCGATAAAAAAAGGACACTTTTTTTTGGCACCGGAATATCGATCTGTGATCTGGAATAGTGTCTGCCTGTGATTAATGATCAAATATCATCATCATCGAGACCAAACAACGAAACAAAACAAAACTTTCATCAATCATAATTGGTTGATGAACAGAAAAAACAAAAGTCAAACAAACTTTTCATCCTTTTCTCCCCATTCATAGCTAAATGTTTTATTTGTTTTGAATTTTCATTTTTTTTCTTTCAGAAAAAATTGACTAATTGATCCAAAATAGACTTTTTTGTCTCAACAAAATGCAATGAAATTTCAGATCTTAATATTTCTGTGGACTAATTTATTATTGAAGCCGGCAAAAAAACCAACAACTAAAAAGATTCAAGTGGAAATAACACGCAGCTGTCTTCCTTCTTTTTTTTTCCTGTAGAATATGGTTTTTTTTTCCATTTTCAAATTTCAGTGAAATAAATGATAATGAAACAACAAACATGATAATTCAATTTATGAATTGAATGGAATGGATCTTTCTCTCTCTTCTCATTTCGCTGAATATTATAAATTCATAATTACTCACATAAGTGTCTATGTGAAAATTAACAAGAAAACAAAAAAAAAAGACGAAGAAGAAATTTCCATTTATAAAGTACATTATGATAGGAAGATATTGATTTTTTTTTGTTTCTTTTTCATATGTGTAAAGTCATCATCATTAACAGTTTTTTTTCTTTTGGATGTTGTTGTCAGACTTTTCGTATTTTAAATCAACCAGCCTAACAAAAGAGAAAAAACAGTATCCATCATATAACAATCTAGACTTGAATTCGATAAAAATGTTGACAATATTTTTCCTTTTTCAATCATTGATTATCATGAATGAATGTAGAAAACAAAAATCGATTACCGTAATACGGTAATTTCCCGTCCAGTGTATATAACCAGGCATGATATGTATTGAGCCTTGTCAAGACTTTGTGATTTTGTAGAATTTGAAGAAAACATTCTTTAGGATTCTTTAGGTACTTCATTTATATTCCCATTTATACACTTATGACAAGAAAAGAAAAAAAAATGATGAATCCACTGTAATTAACTGCAGTTAGATTATCATTCTCATCAACAACATCATCATTATTATATGATGTTTGTAATTGGGCTGGTTGGTTAGAAAGATATGCAAAGATAAGCAAAATTGCCAAAAAAAAATAAATAAATAAAGATTTCCATACATAAATATTATTATTATTATTATATTCATCTTTATTGAAATGATATTTGATATTGTTTACCTAGAAATTTGGGTGAGAAAAGGAAAAAAACAAACTTCAAAATTTTTTTTTTTTTTTTTTGATTCACATAACGTAATACGTGTATAGAGAGACATGGCTGCTCTAGAATGATATTTTTTTTTCTATCTCATCAATATTGAGAACAACCAACCAACCAACCAACCAACCAACCAACCAGCCAACCAATCAACCAACATACAAACGCGCAATGGATTCTTAGTCTAGGGTCGTTATGTTGTTTTATGTTATTGTTGGAATTCAATAGGAACTTTCATAGCATAGCACCGGCGCGTATTTGCCATTTAGTATTTACCGTGCCTGTTTGTGCCAGTGTGTGTGTGAATTATATTTTGGAAACACGATGCATCAACACAAAAACCATACGCCATTCAGATTCTTGTATTCAGTCACTTCTTGATTCGATGTTTCCTAAAATATATAAAAAAAAAATTCCAACTTTATTTGATCAGTTTATTTATCCGGTTTATTATCGTAGTCGTCATCATCATCATCATCATCTTTTTTTTTCTTTCATTGACTGAATTTTCATATAGTGTTTTTTTTTTATCTAAAATCAAACAATCAAAGATTCCCAAGTGTGTGTGTGTGTGTGTGTGTGTTTGTTTGTGTGCTGTAAAGTTATAAAAATTCCATAAATTTTTTCATCTGATTTGAATATTTTGTTGTTGTTGTTGTTTGTCGTTGTTATTGTTGAAATTATCGATTATCGATTCTTGCTTATTGCTTTTCGATTTGATTGTTGTCAGAATAAAATTTCAAATATAAAAAAATCGAATTCAAATCGTTGTCGTCGCCGAGGAATATTTTTTTCCCACCAAAAAGAAAAAAGTTTTCACAATTTACTTTGGGAAAAAGTTTCTTTACTTCTTTTTTTTCTTCGTTGTCGTCATTGAATTCTTGTGAATTTTTTTCAGGTGAAAAACAAAAAGTAAGTGAAACAGAAATTCAGTTACAAAATGACTAACCCCATACAAAGAAGAATTGAATTCATTTTCATTTTCACATCATTCATTCATTTTCATTCATTGAATAAATTCCAATCAAAACAATCAACCAACCAACCAAACAATGATTTTTTTCTGTTAATTAAACTTTTCTGTTGAAGTTTACTTATGATAAGATTTTCAATTTTCTTTTATTCATTCATTCATTCATTCATTCAGTATTTGTACATTGAACGATTCAATGAACCTTTTTTTTTTGTTTTCTCTGAAAAACAATTGAATTTTAATTAATAAAACAAATTTCATCAGCAACATCAAAGATCTCTGATTTCGTGTTTTCAATTTTCACTATTTTTCCATTTTTTCTTCAGCTATTTTTCAATTAGGAAAACATTCCAAAGAAATTTTTCCGAAACATTTTCTTGATTGAAAAACAAAAAAAAAATATTTTAAAATTGAATTTTTTCTTTAGGAAAAAAACGACATTTTTTTTCCAAATGAACGATATACAGATCATCATCGTCATATCTGACAAAAAGCAAATGATGATGATAATAATCAAATTAAAGGATGTTTTAACATTTATAAAAATAATTTTTCATCATAATCATCATGGATAGTTTATTGGAAATATTTTTGCACTCAAGAATCCCCAAGAGTGAATAATTTTTGTGAAAATATTTCTGATATCTGTTTGTGTGCACTCTAAATTTAATTTTCTAGGTTTTCTTCTTTTCTTTCACTTACATATTAGATATTTATGTAAGAAAACTAACATCATTTTCTTTAAAACAAGCACACATTCTGTTGACATTTTTTCTTCGGAATATTTCTAAATGCCCATGATAATGGGTCAATAATCTCTTTTTGTTTCTTGTTGGTTGGTGGCAAATTTGTAATTTACTTACTGATAAATGTAATGTTGAGGAGAATGAGAGACGGGAAAAAGCTAAGCCCAGCATGCGTGTATGGGATTTTCAGTTTCTGTTTCTCGAAGAAAAACAATCAAATAAAAAATTTATGAAAGAAAAATATGTTTGACCCCTTAAATGTTGGCTTACCTGTGATAAATCATAATCATATTTTTGCTTTTCTTCATCAAAAATCAATCGGAGACAAGACAATACTAAATGACAAATCAAATAATGTTAGAAAACAAAGAATTTAAGTAAAACAAAAAAAAAACAGGAAAATAATGTCTTTTATTTTGTTTTTTTACAGGGTGTTTGACATGATTTCACTCTTTTAAATCCAATTTTATTGATCATGTTTTGTTGTTTTGTTTTGCTTTTTCTCTATCGAAAAAAAGTTGATTCACATATGATGATTATCATTATTTGAATCAAAATAATGAAATTGTCAACCAAGAATAATGATAATAATAATGTCAAATGAACGTTTGTTTTTTGCTTTACTTTCTTCCAGTGAATTAATGACCAAAAAAATGAATGAATGAATGACAAGGATAAGACAAGATAGATTGAC